TCAGTCTACGAGGCAGCCAGCTTGCTTGAGCAGCACCAACAGGACAGTTTGCAACTCATTTGCTTTGGGAGAGCTGCTTCCACACAAGAGCAGTGCATCAACGCTCTGGTGTTATTAAAACCAACACACGCATGTGCCAGGCTGCTCCCCAACCATCCGCCATGCTGGCACTGGCCTCTGCACACCACTGCTGGTAAGCTCGAGACTTCCATTACAGAAAAGCGCTCGGAGACTAAACATAATTACCCGTTAGCCTGGCAGTCATTTGTTGCTCTGCTCTGGCAGAACTAGGGCAAGAGTGTCACTCGTTTCCATTACTGTGTACGCACTAAGTTCCACGACATGGACGGGAAGGAGACAATGAGAACAAGCCTGTTGAAGCACTGGCCAATGACCGGTGCTTCTGCTGATACCAGCTGCATTCCTCCAGGAGCGACACTTACAAAGTAGCTCCCACGAAAAACCGCCTCCACACTCTATTTTGTTGAATTATTTATCAAGCATGAAGGAAACCTGCACTTTTACCATAACATACAGGAAAATAATTTGAGAGCAGGAACTGCAGATTTACTGTACAAAAAGAAGGATGGCTACAATCACTTTCCTTTAAAGTAACAACAGCTTTTAATTTCCTATTCATTGTCAACTATGCAATCAGTTCTTAAAGCCCGTCGGAATAGACAGGCAACACTTACTTTATTTTAATTAGTTTTCACTAGAAGTTCTCCTTAGGCTAAGAAAGTCTTTCTTACAGCTTACTAACCTATTTTCAACTCTCTTAAGAGACAAGGAAATTTAAATAATACATAGAATACAAAATGAAGAAAAAATGATATTGCTAGTGATTTTGTTAAAATTTTTACCGTGTGTGTGCGCGCGCGTGTGCGTGCATGCATGTGTGAGTCCACTCCGTGGCACACACGTGGCAGTCAGAGGACAGCCTGCAGGACTGCCTTCCATTATGAGGGGTCTGAGGATTAAACTCGGTTTGCCAGAGTTGGCAGCGAGTATCCTCAACCACTGAATCATCTTATTGGCCTGTGACCAGTATTTCTAAATGACATAAATTTTATGCTCTTATTCTACTTTCTGTTTCTTAGATTTTCTTTTCCATAGCTCAAGCTGACAAAGTATAATCATCATTCATAATAATTTAAGGTCAAACACTGACCTGTTTGTTCAAGCTGGAAAATCAAATTCCTTTCCCCAAATATCACCATCTAGTGAACTATAGAAAGCAGTTACTCGATAAACTTTGTCTCTACTTTCTGTCCTTTACTACCCTCTCAAAGTTCTACAGGCACATTTAGTCTGAGAGGGGTCAACCAGAGCTCACTTTTATTTCTCATGTATATGACTTTCTAAACGCAGAAGTGACAAGACATCTATTCTGTCAAACATTCTGAGAACGCCGAAGGGCAGAGAAGTCCATTTACTTCCCCACCAATGCATATCTGGCATGCAGTAAAGCATATGTGGAACCCAAAGGAGAGACTTTTCTTTCAGTGCATCAAGAGGAAGGCAGAGGTTGTAGGCGGAGATGAAGCTGGGCTGGGGGTAGTGGACATGCGACACAGCTCTTGTATGATTTTTTTTTTTCAGTGTAGCTCTTGGTGAGCTCATAAACTGAGGGATTAGGAAATGGATATAATGGAGAATTGATTTGAGGAATAAAAATAAGAAGAATTCCTGTTTTAGAGAGAATAAAGTGAATTCATTAACAAGGACTTGCAGCAGCAATGAATCTCCCACTGAAATCATTGGTCATAAACTTGAAGTCAGTCAATTTGACTTGATTGGATGATATTTTCTACTTAGTTTCAAATGCCTGACAGCAGGCATAAAAAGAGAAGCTGGATTTAACTAGGGTACATTTTTTTGTGTAGGCAGGAGCTATGAAGAAAGAAAGGAGGCTAGGGATCCAGGGGTATTTGCAAGAATAGTGATAGTAAGAAACCATGGAATCTAGGCTAGATCAAGAGCAGTATGTCCAGAAAGGACGAGATAGATTTAGGGAAGGTGACAAGGTCAGAGACTGGAGATCTGTGAGGGAGAACAGCTGGAGTGCAGACACTAAAGGAAGGGACTAAATAACGGTCAAAGAGCAGGGTTGGAGGAGGCAGTTTCAAAGAAAGTGCTATCTGATAAGATCTGACTACAGTTATGTAGAGGTTGGGGCCGAGGTGTCACAAAAGAGAGAACTATATCAAGAATAGCTACGGCTTTGCATCACCATGCGGAGATAAGGGAGGGGGTGCTGCACATCACGGGTGGAGACGCACAGATGACTACAGCAAAGACGCGCTAGAGGGGTGAAGTCTGCTATCAAACGAGAGGTGTGGGGCGACTACAGGGGAGAGGAGACATAAGCTGGAGCTGTGATAAACAAGGACCCCACCCACATCCCTGCAGGCTCTCAGGATGATGAATAGCAAAATAAAACCAAACCCTAATGTGAGAAATAGCCTCACAGAAAAAGGGCGAAGGCACCGTTCTGAGAAACGGCTGCGGAGTGGCACCAGACTTAACACGGACGGTGTTCTCTGTCAGTAGTTCTTGAATTTTAATCTAAAATGTTCTAAGTTTACAATATCTTAAAAGGAAAAATACTCAGAACCTATTTGCAAAAATCTGGAACAGATTAAGAAGGAAATGATCTTCTAACAATTGTACTTCCCAAATCCAGGAAAGATTTATCTTTAAATATTAGTTCCCTGGCCAAGATAAACAGGGTCAAACAGCATCTTATTGTTTCTGGCTTGCTATAAATGGACAGCTCACTGCTATAAAACAAAACCAGGCACTGTATTGCATAAGAGCCCAATCTCAGAAGAACAAAATCAAGTCAGTTCTGCCTGGGTGATATTTAGAAAATAGCTTCTCTGAAAATGAACTGACCAAAGTCATAGAGTTCAAGCAAAGAAATCCAAGTAGCTATGGGATAAGAACAAATGAGATTTCACAAATACAGTCTTAGGAGTATAACATAATACATTTGCATCAGTTATCCTTCATCGAGTAGCAGTGTGATTATCTCATGAATATCGCTATTCATGAGAGGTGTGCATGTGGAGGAAGAAGACAGTCTGGACAAGCAGGCTCTCTCCCTCCACTATGTGGGCTGCAGGGAGCAAACTATTCCTGAATTACGAAGTTTGGCAGCAAGCACCTTTACCCAGTGAGCCATCTTGCTGGCCCATGTTCTGAATGTCTTTGTGAGACTAAGGATGTATCCTAACATTTGCCCTGTAATAAGGACATCTTTTCTACTTTATACCCAGAGGCTGTCTCTAAGCATTTCAACTAAGCTGTCTATATGCAGTTCATGAGATCCTACAGTCCTTTATGATATTAGATATGTAATAAAAGTGTCTGACTTACTGGCATTTTACTAGATTCAATCCTAAACTCAGTGTTTTATTTTATAGTGGTATTTGATAATTTGATTATATCAAAATATAGTCTGGTTCACTTGCAGACTAGGTCAAAGGGCTTTTAATTTCATCTTCCTCATATACTCTGAGGTTCTGGTCACTATACAGAAAAGTTATCAAAAGTTCTATTACACTGTTTAGCTAGATAAACTGTATTTTAATGAGCTGAATATTCAAATATTGCCCATGGAAATGTCTCTGGCGTGTAGTGATTTCTGTGTCTGTGTTAGTTCCCTTTCTAGATTAGTGGTTCTCAACCTGTGGATCATGACCCTTTAGAGGGCTTGAATGACCCTTTCTCAAGGATTGCCTAAGACCATCTGCATACCAAATATTTACATTATGATTCCTAACTGTAGCAAAAGTACAGTTATGAAGTAGCAACAAAATAATCTATGGCTGGGAGCCCCCACAACAGGAGGATGGTATGTAGGGGTCACAGCACTAGGAGCATGAGGACTGCTCTAGACTATGAGCAGAAACACTGGGCTTCCTCATCTTTAGATAGTCCCTGAGTAGCTCTCAGTATTATTTTTAGTCAGTTTAACATCCAGTACTAGTAGGTAGAACAAGTACAACAGTGATCTTATTAATATCAAGTTCATTCAGATCAGACACAAACAGGCTTGTTTATGGCTTGTCTAGAATCTTACTAATATTAAGCTAAAACATGAAACGACTTTAAGTTACAAAAGGTATAACTGATAGAATCACCATCATGCATACATATAAGATAATGGATACATGACTCTTAGCAGCAAGTCTGTAGAGTAGTATGCTAGCTTCTCCGATTTTGTAAATGCAAATAAAAGAGAACTACTCTTTATTTTCAAAAGTATAGTAACTGGGGGAGAGATGGCTCCGAAGTTAAGAGCATGTACTGCTCTCGCAGAGGACCTGAGTTTGGTTCCTACACCCATGTCAGGTAGCTCACTACTGTTAGGTCCAAGGTAGGCCCCTAAAATGGCACTGCTGATGACAACAATGTCCTAAACAGAAGGATTGTTACTAGATAAGCAGAAACCTACACTCATCATTCTTTAGGAATCTCATAAGGCAGATTACCATTTACCAGGAAGTCACTACTTCCCTTGACTACCCCAGGGGTCAACTACCACAGGCAAGGGCATCTAGTTGCCAAAGAGCAGGCTACAGATCAAAGCCCCTATGCTAAATTCCAGGCTGTTCTGGGCTGCACCCCTCCTCCCATGGCCACCTGTCCCACTACCTGCTGTTCTCTGCCCTCCTAGAGACAGGTAGCAGTTGATCCGATTTCACTGTGCCCTTCCTTACAACTACTTCCTTTAACTCCAGCTCCAGGGGATCCAACACCTTGCTTCTGGCCTCTGTGGGCACCTGTGCAACCTCCCCTAATACATACAATTTTAAAAAATAATGAAAATAAATCTTAAGAAATATAGTGGTTTAAAAAAAGTGGGAAACTATTTCCAAAATAATACATGTATAAATTTGTCTGAGTGACTATCTTAAATGTCCTCTCATTAACCTAGAAAATACTGGTTAAGCAAAGGACTCCCATGTTGACAAATCAAAATTTCAACTTACCATTTATGTTTATTGCTGGTAATACAATTGACATTTTTGGTCTTGTGGTCTTGTTATGGGTGGTAGCTGGTAAAAGCAGGTGATCCTAAAATTAAAAAAGAATAGCTTTTTATACATAACTGGTTTAGTCCAGGAACATTCCAAATTTATAATTTTAGGAAGCCAACATTTTACTTGGGTAATGAAAAAAGTTTTTGTTATAAAAACTTGGCTTAGAAACACTATATATAATCTTAATGCAGAACACATCACCATGGCAGTTTTTGAATACTCTTCGATTTTGATAACAATGTATAACTAGGATACCATAAAGTCAAGTCGTCAATACAACAGGTCTTAATCTAGTTATGCTAAGAAAGAGTTGTGTGCTCTGGGCAAGATGGCATTCTTTGTAGTGCCCTACGGAATGGTGGGTCTGGAGTAGGCAATGATAAAAGTTCTAACTAACAGAGTCAGTCAGTCTCTCTCTCTCCAATATAATATTTTTATTGATTATTTGGGAATTTCACACAAGACACCTTGATCATTCTTGCCCCTATTCTTCCCAGGTCCACCCCCACCTTTATGTCCCCAACAGAAGGAGGAGGAGAAGGAAGAGGGAGGAGGAGGAGGAGGAGGAGGAGGAGGAGGAGGAGGAGGAGGAGAAGAAGAAGAAGAAGAAGAAGAAGAAGAAGAAGAAGAAGAAGAAGAAGAAGAAGAAGAAGAAGAAGAAGAAGAAGAAGAAGAAGAAGAAGAAGAAGAAGAAGAAGGCCAAACTTCCATCCATGGGCTCTCTGTTGCTGTTCCTACAGTCAGTGTTCCATCTTTCACTCAACAGATTTGCTCTATGGACGAACTCCTCAAAATGCCAGATTTGATAAGGCTATGAGTGATAAATGAAGTTATCAGCAAAGCAAAGGAAAAACCTAGACTGTGAAAGACAAGTTAAAATAGACACCCATGAGCTGAGCAGAGCTGGGCGGAGACACTTCTGCTAACTACTGTGCTTTGTGGGATTCGAAGCCACAGCTCCATGAGAACACACTTTCCAGTGTGGAGAGAAGAATGAGGGACTGACAGAATCCCAGCACTGGAGCAAGGATGGGTGTTTTTCCTTTCCCTGTTTTATTTTGTTAAGTGCATTGTTAGACACAAAGAGCACACATTTCTGAGAGCAAGATAATAAATTATAACCTAGAAGAAACACAATTTGCTCATCTTCCTGTTGTGAAAATTATAAATAGCTTAATTCCTATAATTAAAATATTGTTTCATGGTCTAAATTGAATAAGAAAACAACCCTCAAATTGCAAGGCCCAAATTAAGGTTACTGTAAAAACAAACACACTTAGATTGCATTGGTGAAGGGTTAAAGTCAGGCTCAGACTTAATTATGAGTTTCTTGTGAAGATCTAGATGTTTCTAAACATGATTTTTTAAAATGTAGTGTCTCCTACATTTTGTAGCAGGAAGTAAAAAATTATGCTATTGTTTATGAAAAGGAACCACACAGCACATTTATACACATTATTAAAGTTAAACTGTCTTGTCTCTCATCATTACAGATATGCAAACAGTGGGGTAGCCATTCTGTATTTGAGGGTCTCACTATGTAGCTAAAGTTGGCCTAGAACTTGCTACACAGTTTAGCTGGCTCTGAATGTTCCTGCCCCTGCCTCCTGAGTGCTGGGATTATAGATGGGAAACTGAGCTTTTTTTTTTTTTTCCCAGTGCTAGGGATAGAACCCAGGGCATCACACATAATATAGTCTATAATTTAAAGTGCTTGTTTTACTGATAAAAACTGAAGGGAACCAAAGCTAGTATATTACTGATTCTAAGAGTATTTTATACAAAAAATATATTACACATACACACATATGTATAAGTAGTTAGGACTGTGATGTGGGAAACCAATGAAATCAACAGATTGATATATGACACTCCCACATCAGGACTGTAGAATTGCTTTGTTAAACAGGTGCCTTCCTTAAAAAAAAAAAATGAAGCCAGTAACAATTATTGAATTTTCCTGTGTTCAACTTACTCTATTTTAGATTGTTAATTCTCTTAGTTATAACTATAGAAACTAGGAACTTTCATTAGTCAACAAGTAACCTCTCACCTCCACCACTCATTACCGAAAACATTTACTGAGCATACCCGCCTACTACATAGTCAGCACTGTGCTACACAGAATGTTTTACAGAACAGAAATACAGGCTTTTACCTTCCTGTGGGAAATGCTGTACACTAAGAGAGAAATTGTGATTTGTTTCCAATAAATGCTCTTCTGCTACTATAATTTTGGAGCAGAAATAGAACCTGTGATAATTAATTGGGCAGAAATCAGGCTATATGTCTCAGACTCCTTTGCAGCCAGGCAACTTAGTCTAGTTGAAAGAACTTCTTTGAGATGGCAGTGATGGAAGGCCACCCATGTTCCCTCTCCTGTCACCTAGGAAGCAGACATGGCAGCTACAGCTGGAGCAGCCACAGTGGGCTATGAGATGGAGGCTACAACCAGAGGATTCCAGAGCAATAAACCAGGAGATGGGGAGCCTGGTGACCAAAGAGCCACAATCAGATATTTAAAAGTTATAGATGAGACAGAGATAGAACTTGGATTTTCCTGAGTCACTAGTGCATGGGATTTTCTGTCATCTAATGCTAGGTCTAATAACTAGTAACATTATCTATTTGTGAATCAGTACTAAAAAGATTTAGTTATCAGAAATTCCGGAAAGGCTGACATGATCAGGGATAGCTTTATTAACTTAGTTTTGAGACAGGGTATCACTAAGTAGCTCTGGCTGGTCTGGAACTTGCTATGCAGACCAGAATGGCCTTCAACTCACAGAGACTCACCTGCCTCAGGTTCCCAAATGCTAAGATTAAAGGCATGCACCACTACATCTGACATTTTGTTAATTTATTATTTAGACTACTTGATAAGGAGCCCCCTCCTCTTATTCAAGTCTATATTAATGAACTAATCGAGGAGATTCAGTCCTGGAAAAGTAGAGGTGTAATTTGATGAATCTGAACACAATTGTTTCCATCCCATTACATCAATTAAAATAACCCAAGCACAACAAAAGTTAAGCTAGTTAGAAATAAAAAGGATATTGCTTTAGAAATAAATATTCAAAACCTTGTTGCTTATTTTAAGACATTTTCAAATGGGCTACTGAAAACTCTATATAGGGCTGATAAACTACAGGGCGTGCACCCTCAGGGATAAAACTACATAGACAAAAATTACAGCTGGTGCTTTGCTATTCAAACTCTCACAGGCTGGTAGAAAGGCAATAAAGCACTGCACTGTGAGGGAAAAAAATCAGCTTTCCAATATTGTGCAGTAACACATGATCCAAGACGCCAGTTCCATACAGTCCTCCAACTCCCTCCCCCACGTACATTGTCAGAGATACTCAAAGTCTGAGGACAAAGCACGGCATTAAACAGCATCTCATCTTTTTAAGGAAGCAAAAGCATTGGAGATAGACTGAACAAAAGTACAAGGCATGTTCCTTAGCTAGAATTTACGATGATAACTCAGAATAAAATTACCCCTGACTGAGAGATAATAAATGTTGGTTTGCATATCCAGAGTTCAAACTAACTTAAGCCAACTGCTAATTAATTTTTTCTAATTGCTGATTTATTAGTGTGATCGTGTTTTCAAATTATATAAACTGATAAACTAAGTAAAAACAGAGATGACACGGCTTGACAAAAGTAAATAGGTTAACTCTATTTTTCTCATTGCAAAACTATAAAAGACACAGAAAAAAGTAAGTTTCCACCACATTGTTTAGCAATATGTAAGTTTTTATTATAAGTGAAAGTAATTATCAATGATAACTGGAAATTATGGCAGATGGATTGAGTATGGTTTATAGAAGAAAAAATATGGTGCTCTGAACAGTAGATTTAGACTTAAAAACAAAGCACTGATTGATCTTACATTAAAAGCTGGCAAGTAAAATGCTTATTTAAATAACTGAGTGAAATATCCATTTAAAAAAATCTCCACTTTAGCCAGTTCACGCCATACTAGACGAGACAGTTTGTTGTATATGAGGAAACTCTGGCTCAGCATGGGGGCCCCTATCTTTGATAGGAAGGAATGTCTAGAATATCTCCTGCTGCTCTCTAAGAGTAAGGATCCTCAGTCTGCAAAAGCTGCAGGTATGACTGACATCCAGCTCTCACTGGATCGGGATGGCCCACTGGGAGTCAAAAGTGTTGCGTATCAGGCCAACACTAACAACAACGGACTCTTAATATTTAATATTTGGCTTATATTCACTGGATTCCTGCAATGGGTTTGTTTTTCAAATATAGCAACCACTAAAATCAGATAAAAAAATAAAATAATATCCATCCTTATTTCAAAAAACAGCTTTGTGTTTTCTCTACCTTCCTACCTTGGGAAGCTTCAGCTTTCTTCCGTCACTACACCTCATCCTCCTACAGCTATCTTTCAAGCTTCCAAACCTCAAAAATAAAAAGGCTGTCAAGGTTACTACTATTTAAATCCACAACATTTGGAACTGATATTGTTTTCCTGTAGCTACACAAACTGTTGATTAGAAACCAGCTCACTAAAAAAATGTCAATTAGGAAACTTGAAATCATCAAAACATACAGACACACATAGTAAAATACCATAAAAACAAAAATTGCAAGAAAAAATTAGAGGTAGTAAAATTAAGTGGAATGTCATCATTTAAAGTCTATTAAACTGCCTATGATGTAGAGATTCTCACCACATTAAAAACATAAGCAAAGTAGATTACTAATCCCCAAACTAGAACAGTTAGTAGAAATAGCCAAAATGAACGTGCTATTTGTGCCACTAATGTATGCAATAAAACTACAGACCAATAAAAGGAAATATAAAGCATGCATCTGCACCACTAACATGTGCCAGAGAGAGGAAAAATTAATCAAAACCATTAGCGTAAAACAGATGGCGCAAAGAGGAGACATTTCTATTCTGACAAGAGGAAAAATTTGACATGTAATGCAATCCTGATAATGCTGGCAAGTCAACAGGAAAAATGAGCTTGAAATTCTAATAAGGTCAAACAAGTTTGT